ATATAGCCTGTGTGGATAACTAAAAAAATTTCACTGTGTGAGAATAAAGGGTGTTATGTAGAAGAGGGAAGTGGACCTTCCACTGTCAGGTAAGGGCCACATCACAAAGTGCATTACACTTTATCCTGGTATGTTTCAGAAAGGTTACTTTGCTAACAGAATGGAGGGAGGATTAAAATGAATACTAGAGATTGAAACTAGTAAGGAGGCTATTACATGAATAGAGATGAGGGCCTGAACTTGAGAAGCATCAGTGGAAATGGGGATAAAGTAACCAATTTAAACAATATCCAGAAAGTAAAACATGTGACAGGCATTGCAGGTTCCCAGCAAACGCCATTTCCAGCTTCTTGCCTTCCTTACCCACAACACACTATAAAGGTTAGAAATGCCAGATACTCACTTACTCAGCTTCATCACAGTTGCACACGAGCCAATTCTAGATAATCTCTTGGGGGAAGTAGCGTGGCTCTGATAAGTTTTTCCTTTCTATTAAAAGAACAGAGGTGCATGTAGAAAATGGCCCCATCTTCTTCCATCTTCCTTCACATCCTGCTGACAGGATGCCTCATTTGGTGCTATGGCAGTTACTTTACAACTATGAGAGGACAAACCAAGGGCAAAAGCCAAGTGCTGAGGATGGTAGAGTAAAAGGATGGACAGTCCTGGTTCTTGATGACACAGCTGAGCTGTGAACTAATAATCCAGGGCCTGTTTATCTCTGGACTTAGTCAAGTATCCTTCCAGCTTAAGCCACGGACTGTCAAGCTCTCTGTTGCTTTCAGACAGAATCAACCAAAATCAAACTCTGCAGGGCCTGCTGGCTGACTGTGGAGGGTTTATAATAAAGGGAAATTTAAATTCACTCCCAGGTTTCTGGTTTGGGAAGCTGCAACAAAAGTGGTGGCTTTTGGGCAGTGGCATGGGGTGAGAAGGAAGAATTCGAGGCATGAAAAGGAGAAAAGGGAAGAAGTATGTTCCTGGACATGCTGATTCAGAGATATTAAGGAATCATTAGGTGAGGAGATGTGTGATTCTGGAACTTGTTCAAAAAGTCTGAATTAAATCTGCTGATGTATGAGAAGTCTGATCTATTACACCTGCATGACCTCACACTCTGTTGGAGGAGTCTAATGGAGACAGGCGTCAAAAGAGCAGAGTTCAGACAAAAATGTCCTTATGTGAAGAGTCCTAGAAAGTGTTTCTCTTCTATTATTTTAAGACTCTGAAGATGTATAGGTACTAATTTATCATAAAATTGGTACAGGCCGGGCTCAGTGGCTTATGCCTATAATCTGAGAATTTTGGGATGCTGAGGCTGGTGGATCACTTGAGGTCAAGAGTTCAAGAACAGCCTGGCCAACATGGTGAAACCTCGTCTCTACTAAAAATATAAAAATTAGCCTGGTGTGGTGGTGTACACCTGTAATTCCAGCTACTTGGGAGGGTGAGGCAAAAGAACTGCTAGAACCCGGGAGATGGAGATTGCAGTGAGCCGATATCGTGCCATTGCAATTCAGTCTGGGTGACAGAGTAAGAAAATCCATAATAAATAAAGTTGGTAGAAACTTGTTTACACAATGAATTAACACTATAAAACACTGGCATATTTTTATCTTATAAAAATTCATTAGTCAAGATAACCCAAATAGCACAAAATCTGGATCTATGAAAAATGAAGACTGCTAAAGTGACTACACCAGAAATCTGTCTTGGTATTGGAAACTAATCTGAATCACCTGCTTTGCTATGTATGTCAGTAAATTAGGAATATGTGAACAAGCTCATTCCCATGACTCAGAAAGTAACTCCAGGACATGTTTTATTGGTGGTAGATTACTCCAAAGTACAGAGAGGAACATAATCACTGAGAATGCAGCAAGCAATAATTTAGGAGCACTATGCATAATTAAGTAACCTTTTGAGGATTACACTACTCTTCCATGAGAAGGAAGTTAATACAGGTGAAGTTAATACAGGAAGTTAATACCCCAACAGAATTATTTTCATGCATATGACAAAGTTATGGAAGAAATGATCCACAGCAGGCCAATCTAGGGAATAGGAAAAATACAATCAGAGCTGGAAAAGGTGACAATCTAACAAAGAGGCACAAGGACACATGGCAAGAGGTCCCTATAATCATGATTATAAGGGCAACCCTAAGGTGAATTTTCAATTTTCATATTTACAGAGTTTGAACCAGACAGCTGATGTACTAGGTCTATACAGATAACAGCAATCCTTATCCAAGGCATCTCTGATGAATAGGAAGAATTACCAAAGATGAAAGGAATTTACCCTTGGCATCAAGCAAAAATGTTTCAAAAACCAAAACTGACTTGAGAAAAATTAGTATAACAGACCAAAATTGGTACCTCACTCAGTTAGTCTTCGTTCTAAAACAACTGATCCCACTGTTCCCCTTCATGAAAACTTTAAATGGTTCTGCTGGCTCAAAGAGCCCCCTCAGCCCTTCACCCAAGCCCACAACTCATCTGACTAATGAAGTCCTAATCAAATTTTCAGTTTTGGCTCCTGTCATTTATGCTATACTCTAATTATATTAGACCAGCTGATATTTCCCAAATCCAACCTGTGCTTTCCCTATTCCTGCCATGCTGTTCATGCCAACTGTTCTCTGCTCTTGTGGATGCTACCCATCCTTCAAGTTTCACTCCTTTTATTTTTCAGTATTCCCTGATCCTACTACTACATATAGTCTCCTCCTTTGCATCCTTGTCTGCTCTTATAAAAACCATGCTATTCTGTCTTGAATTGTTACCACTGTTGTATATCTCCTTTACAATACTCTAAATTCCTTAAAGAAGAAAGGACAATTAACTCATCCTTGTGGTTTCTACCAGGTCAAAATTAGTAAGTAATGGTAGGTTGCTGAATAGTGACATAAAACACTGAAAGCCCTCAAAAGAACATAAAAGATCAAGTTTATTAAATGTCTAATAATTTGACTATTTATCATTCTGATAAACATTCAGATGCTTCATCTCCTGTTCACAGGAAAAAGCAATATAAAGACATAAATGTATAAATTATTCAGTAGAGATCGTGAATCAGATTTTGATCTACAAATTCTAGATATTTTTAGTTTTCTGGACAGGCCACTTATTCTTTTCCCTGTCTGCTTCTTCCATAACTACCTATTCTACAAACTTGATGTGAAAAACATGATCTTGTAATTAGTTAATATTTTAATATTGTTCAGAAGTCCTCCCTTAGAAAATACTGAATACCATCTCTAGCTTTTCCCAATCAACCACAATTAGCAAAGATTTTCCTGATTCACAGAATGCCTAAAGTGTAAAGAAGACTACTATATGCCAAAAAAATGCATTTTCATTTTCATATAAAGGGTAAAACTCTCTTCCTCTATTCTCACAAATTCTTTTAGGCTCTGAAACCGTGGCTTCTGGCCATTGTATACTCCTAATGTATAAAGGGGTTTAACATTCTAGGAAAAAAGGCACACACTGATCTCAAGAGCAGAATATATTCTGAAAGACAGTAATAGCCTTCACGAATAAAAAACAAATCAAATTCAGATAGGGGAGAGTGCACAAAAAAGTAAAAGGGCCGTAAGAGTCTTGAAAAATAAAGGTGTTCAGTTGAACACAAAAAGTTTAAATCCAGAAAATTATTTCTCAACCAGCGAAACAGGCCAAAGAACTTTAAAAGGGCCATGGTTTTCCAGGACATTTTGTGGCTTAGTCTCCTCTAACTTTTTCTCTCACGCTCCACTTTTCTGAGCATGTTAACCCACCTCCTTTCACCTCCAGGCTCACATGAGAACTCAGCAGAGGACTCATCTCAAGTGGTAGGCAGTTCCTATGCCCTCTACACAATTCCCAGATATGGGAGATGAGGAATCTCTTTCTACCCAAGATACAACACTGTAAATTTAGAAACTTATAAATAAGACAAGGGAAAAAGTTTAGAACTGCATAAGACTCCTGGCCGGTAGTATTTCTGCTCTCCTGCATCTTTAAGCCAACAAAAATAACGACGGGGAATTTTTCATTTGCCAGTCAACTAACAAGGAATTTTAAGCATTGCAGTCAAGAGGCAATCCATTCTACAGAACAAAAACCGATCAACCCAAAGCAAGCAAACACACCAAACATGCATCTCAATGCAAGGGCAATTCTCTACCGGGTGCTTTTTCTGGGGACACTTCAACAGCAAAAAAAAAAACAGGCAAACCAGTTCCTGAACTCGATTCTGCGCGCTTGCAGTACTCCAAAGTTAGATGACACCATAAACAACTTCTTCCTCTCCCTCTCCTGTGGTCACGTCACCTGTTGCATCACCTGGAAAGGGGTCTTCAGGGTCTAGGAAAGGAGCACCGCCAGGGTCTCTAAATAATTCAGTCGGGCTACTTTCCCGATAAATGTTGGCCTCATTCCTATTTTAACGAGGTTGCCTTTGACACACAAGGCAAGGGTGTTTTGGCTCCTGTTCACCTTGGAAGAGATTCTAGTACAGGCACCCGAAAGCTGTGACTCTCTGGATTTGGAGGGGCTTGGGAGTGTTTGAAGATTTAAACCAAGCAAAGAGATGTACGATCGGCAGAAGCAGAGGAGCTGGGAGCGCAGGCGGTCGGGACGGGGGTCCTGGGGCAGCCCCGGGGGCGGGCAAGTGGGGTCGGAGGCGCGACGGAAGCTTTGCAGCAAGGACACCGCTCGTCAGCCAAGGGGTCGGGCCCAGAGCCAGGGTCGGGCCAAGCTGCGGGGATGGGAGAGGTTCCAGCCCACCGGAGCTTTGCCCAAAACCGTCAGGCTGACTGGGTTCACCCGAGCGTCGACGAGTGCGAGGACTGAAAAATACTACTACTTCTCCCTCCTTCTCCCCGGCTTCCCCCGAGCACTAAAGCCGAAGGCGGAGACGCGAGGCAGGAAGCGCCTGGGGCCGGGGTCCGAGCCCGACCGGCGAGAGGACGCCGGCCTGGGCCAGGGCTCGGGGCCGCCAGGGGCCGCACTCACCATGTCGTACACGTTGAGCACCACTAACTGGTTAGCCCCCATCCTCCTCCCGGCGGCCGCCGCCTCGTCCTCAAGCCGCTCCGTCTCCGCGGGGCCGGGGGCCGCTCTCGCCCCCGCGGGCGCTCCTGGGGGCCTGAGCCGGGCACTAAGCGAACAGCCCGGCCCGCGGCAGCCGGGGCGGAAGCATCTGGCAGCCGAGCCGCTCCCGGGCGCCGCCGACAGGAGCCTCTGTGCGGACGGGGCCGGACCGTTGGCGGCCCGCTCCGGCTGAGGCGCCTCCCCTAGGCGGCAGACACGTGGGGAGAGGCGGGGCTTCAGCAAGGGGCGGGCGCCAGGCGCCCCGGGGGCGGGGCCGGCCCGGCGCCGGGGCTCAGCCCGCCTGCGCCCTGGTTCTCGACCGCCGCACCTCGGGACCTAAAATGGCGGCAGCTTCGGCGCCTCCGCGTCCAGGAGGAACGGGGCCGCAGGAAGACTACAGTTCCCAGCATGCAGCGAGGATTCCCCCCCCCCCCCCCCGCTACTATAAGCGCAGAGGCGGGGTCTAAACAGCCCTCGACTCCAACTCCCAGCATGCCGCGGGGGCCCCGGTCCTACCAGACCAGGCCTCCCCGGGAGACTACAGCTCCCAGGATGCAGTGCTTTGGAGCCGCGGTGGGTCCCTTGCAGTCCGCTGGCGGTGAAGTCTTCTACCTTTATTCACCCTCTCCTCGCCGGTGCTGCTGCTGTTAGTAGTTCTTGTGGCGTTGAGCTCGGTGAAGCCAACGAAATGTGGCAAAAGACGAGAGTGATGACCCTGTGTTTTCCAGATCCCTCCTCACTTGTTCTTTGGCAAGGGGAGGGGTGGGGAAGTAGACGAAAACGAGTTACCGGTGTGGGATGAGGTGTAACGTGCATCCAGTTAATCCTCGATGTGGAATTTACAGTTTGTGAAACTGTCCTGCTGAGATGGGAAGGGTACAGTAACCATCGCTTACACAATCCTGGGACGTCGCAGGCACCTTGGCGTTAATTCGACAAATATTCGCTGTGTGCTTCCTATGTGCCGGGCAGTGTTGTAGGCCCTCGGGGATGACGTGATAAACAGGAGCACGGACAAACACAATACCACAGGTGTGTGCTTTGCAGAAAGTTTAAATAAGGTGAAGTCATTGGGAGTAATCGTAAATTGGCTGCACGGGGAAGATCGCTGTAATGAGATGAGTTTTAGGCTGAAATATGAATGACAAAGCCAGCCCCGCAAATATGCGGGGGAGGAGCATTTCCGTCAAAGGGAACACGTGCGAAGGTCTGAGGCATGAAGGAGTTTTCTGTATTCAAGGAAAACAAAAGACCACTGTTTCTGGGAACTACTAGGCAAGGAGGCAATGGTATTAGATGACTTGGGCAGGTAGGCAGAGGCCAGATCCCGGAAGATTTCTAAATTCATAATGGGGGTTGTATTTTCAATGAAGCCGTAAGTTTGGGCCAGGGAGTGAAATGAGCATGCGTGTGTTTAAAAATGATTACTTGGGTTGCTGTGTGGAAAACGCATTTCAGGAGGTGGAAACAGGGAGACGAGTGTGGTAGACGGCAAAAACAGCCACGAATTATTTCCGGTGTCCCGAATTATACTCTTTGGTAGTGTCTCCCCCCACTGACTGCGCTGGACTGTGACTTGCTTTGGACATGGGACATTAACATAATGCAAACAGAGGCTTAAAAAACACTTGTGAGTTGGAGCTTGCCCTCTTGCTGAACTTGGGAGTCCTGTGACCACCATCTTAGGAGTTTGGGCTGGCCTGACGGATGCTGAGGGACACATGGTCAAGTCATGGCCTACATTCTGGTGACATCCAACCAACTGCAAAGCATGTGAAGCTCTCCTCGACTCTCCTTCCCCTGGCCATAACCACATTGATCAGATGAACTGACCAGCCAACCCACAGAATGTGAGAAATGTTTTAAGTCACAAAGTTTTGGGGGTGGTTATGTGGCAAAAGTTAACTGAGACAATCAATTGGATGCTATTCCAGAAGTGCATGCCACAAAGTGGCTTAGTTGTTGCTGTTAGTGCTGGAGACTGAGATAATTAGAATTTAAAGTAGACTCTAGTTTTGGAATAAAGTCTATGGAACTTGCTAATGGGTTGGACGTTGAGTTGGTTAGGGAGAGGGGATTCAAGAATAACTTCTAGATTTTTGACTTGGGCAACTGAGTGGATGGTTCGGCCATTTACATGATGTGAAACATTTGGGGGAGGAGCAGGTTGGGAGGAGGAAAATCAAGAGTTATGGTTTGATCATGTTAAGTTGGCAATACCTTTTAGACATCCATGGCTGTCAAGCAGTAGACACTTGGGGTTTGGTGGGATGACCTAAGAATATGCGTAGCTAAAAAGAAGTGGGTCAAGAACAAAGCTCTAGGACCCTTCACCATGTAGAGGTCAAGTAAAGGATGAAGAGGAAGCATGGAGCTGGGAGGAAAATCAGAAAGAACATGGTAGCATTGATGTCAAGACTATTGGATTCAACAATATAGAGATGACTAGTAGCTTTGACCCGAGTGGTCTCTGGGAGGAGTGAGATTTAAATAACTGCTATAACAGTTTGAGAAACAAATGTAAGGCGACAAAAGGGAGACAACTTAAACTTGGGGGCAACAGCTGGATAAGGCTGAGTGGTCGATGGAGGACATTTTGAAGATGGGAGATGCTGAGGCATACTTGCATGGAAAGAGAGAGAAATTGATATAGAAGAGGGCAAGATTTGCAAGGGCAAAGAAAGAAGCAGGCAGGACCCAGGGCACAAGTATAGGGGTTGCCGCTTAGTTAGTATGCTTCATCCATAGTGATGGCATAGGAGGCAGATGCAGGTATGCAGTGATGCCACAGAAGGCAAGGAGACAGGTGGGCAGGTTAGAAATACGGAGTGCAGGAAATGAGGGTGTTCTTTCCTTATGAACGAGACATGAGGAGAGGGGCATAGGGAGTTTGGAGAGAGAGAAGGTGATGTAAAATACAGCAAATACGTGTACTAGGAAAATATGGTTTGTCAGATAGTGTAGAGGGACAGTGAATGCTGTGTACATCATTATTATTTGACTGTCCTCTGGAAGGTTGTTGACAAAGTTCTAAAATCTGTTTTCGGTGTATCAGCTGCCTTGCTTCTCTTTCCTACCGTGCCATTCCTCCCCACCTAAACCAATTACACAAACTCCATAATCACATCTGCTAAGTCCTTTTTGCTGTGAAAGGTGGGGAAAGGCACTATGCATTTGCACCTTATTTAGTGCTGGCTGCAGTCCTCTGAGGGCTCAAACTGCGGGTTCACTTTACCTCTTACGGTATACACTTCCTTTGTCCTTTGTGATCTCATCCACTCTCTCAGCTGTAACTGTTACACGTATGCCGGAGTCGCACGTGTCCACCTTCAGTGCTGTTTTGTCTCCAGAGTGCTAGGCCAGTATAACCTTCAGCCTCTTGGACTTCTCTACCAGGATTGGTTTCCAATGGCTGCAAATTGCCACAAACTTAGTGGTTTAAAATAACACAAATTTATTTTCTTATAGTTCTGGAGATTGGAGGTTCAAAATGGGCATCCCTAGGCTAACATCAAGGGCTGTGTTCCTTCTGGAGGCTCTAGGGGACAATCTGCTTCCTTGCTTTCCCAGCTTCTAGAGGCTGCCTTCATTCCTTGGCTCATGGCCCCATCACTCCAGCCAACACCCCGGCCCCCATTTCCATCATCATGTCTTCTCTGACTTCCTTGATTCCCTCTTGCTTATGAAGAGCCTTGTGATTAGATTGGGTCCACCTGGATAACTGAGGATCCTCTCCCCATCTCAAGATCCTTAATCACAACTGCTAAGTTTTTTTCTTCCTAGGAAAGGTAACAGCCACAGATTCTGGGGGTTAGAATGTGAACATCTCAGGGAGGCTGGGATTCTGCCTTACCATAAAGGATGTCCCACGGCTAGTTTGAATTTATCAGGTACAAAATAGAATTTATCATCTAATGATGGAATGAGCTATACTGCTCATTTAATTCGGGTATTGATCTATCAATAATGAATCATCCATCTTTCATTCATTGAACAAGTGTTAAATGAGTACCTTTGATGTGTCAGCCTCTGTGTATCACTAATTCATCTGTGAAAGAACAGACATGATCCCACCCTCATGAAACTTACAATCTAGTGAAAGACAGAAAAGAATATGTATTCTTATATATATAATACTATAATAGAAAATATATTATTGTATTATATATTACATATTTTGTTTATATATATTATGTATTATATAGCTGTATTGCTAATTCACTATGACAGAACAGATATGAACCTTCCCTCATGAAGCTTATAATCCAGTGAAAGGCAGAAAATAATATATATACTTATATATATACTATAATAAAATGTATATCATATAAATTCTTATATATAGAATATCATTATTCTATAACGTATAATAGAATATAAATATTAACTCATAATTTTATAATTTAAATTGAAGGAGACAGTAGTAGAACAGAACATGAAGACTTATTTGAGGTGGTTGTCAGAAGACAGATGAACTAAGAGAATTAATAAACAGAATTGTAAATTGGGTCTTAGAGGGCTGAAACAAAACAGGAACACTGAGGTGTCAGAAAGCTAGAAACAGCTATGGCACTTAGGTGTGGGGGAATAAAGAGGTCAGAATTTAAACAGTTTTGAAACTTGCAGGAGAACCCCAGCAGTGAGTTTGCCCCATCCCCTACAGGCCATGCTAGGGTCTTCTTAAATTCCACGTCCTAAGAAAATGCCACTAAGTCAGTTAATTCTTGCTTATCCAGTTTTACAGAATCAATAGAGACCAGGCGCAGTGGCTCACACCTGTAATCCTAGCATTTCGGGAGGCCGAGGTGAGTGGATCACTTGAAGTCAGGAGTTCGAGACCAGCCTGTCCAACATGATGATACCCTATCTCTACTAAAAATACAAAAATTAGCCAGGCATGGTGGTGCATACCTGTAGTCTCAACTACTTGGGAGGCTGAGGGAGGAAAATTACTTGACCCTGGGAGGCAAAGGTTGCAGTGAGCTGAGATCGTACCACTGTACTCCAGTCTGGGCAACAGAGTGACTCTGCCTCAAAAATAAATAAATAAATAATCCATAGAATCTAATCCCACACATTCCCTTGGCTCCTGGCGGTAGGTACATACTAGTTTTTGTAATTCTTCATTCCTTATGAGGCCCTGTGTGTCACCAGCTGGCTGATGCTGGGATTCCACCCTAGTTTTCAGCCTGCCACACCAAGGAGAACAGGCAGCGGGCACCTGTTGCCCTGTGAGGCAGACGCTTCTGCAGCATGCTGTAGCACAGCCAAAGGGCTAACCCCTGATGGGGGGCAGTGGGCCGTCTCTGCATGCCCAGAGGTGGGTGGCAGGGTGGAGGTTGTAGAGCTCAGCATCTTCAGAGGCATCCATCCAGATTTTCCTGTCCCAGTTTTTACGATCAAAAGTTTTCTCTACCAGGGCCTCAGCCTCCCAGTAACAGACCTAAAGAGGTTGTGTGCAAACATTTCTGGAGCCCTGTGACTCCCAGTCTTCAGCTTGCTGTTCAGTTGTGTCTGCCTTTTCAC